CGAGGTGGGTTTTATGAGCGCGCACAAATCTCCTCATCAAGCTCCCGCAGGATCCGACATCCATGGGGGCTGGAAATTGCAGGGCGGGTTTTGCCATCGTTCCCGAGGGGGAGGATCGTCGAGCACACAAATGAGGCAGCTTGATTCCAATTATTCAGTAAATTAAATACAGGGGAGTTGGACTTTACGGGCGTTCCTCTGAGTTTCAGCGTTATTGTACAGCGTGGTGAATTCGATGGGGATGGAGAGAAAGGGTTGAAACCGCACGCCGCTATTGTGTTACGTCGCGAGGGTTGCATAGGATGGGCTCCGGTTATCTATAGTTAAAACTCGCCATTGGGAGGAATACGCGAATGCGGAGTGGCTCGTGCTTTCTGTTTTAACAAGAGAAACATTTTAGAGGGAACATGCGGTAATCTGCTATGACCATGATTTTTTATACATTGTCACTGTGCTCCCTCAGAAACACGTACGGGACTTTATTACACAAATTTTCTGCATGCTAAGCTAAACTAGTATTAATTTATTCTATTTTACTCGCGTATGTAATATTTATACATTATCAGTAGTTATTCTACACATATAATTACGATGAAGAAATATTTTTTTCTGGTAATGTAAAAAATATACGTAAAAAATATTTATTATTATTCGAAATATATTTATCGTACTTATACTGTTATAACTAATCGTTAGATTTAATCATGGTATTTGCGTCCACTGCTCTCAGTCGTTCGGACGATTATATAAAAGTTTCCTCGATCACCGACTAGCTGCTTTAATTCGTATTTTCTTTGGGGACTACGCTTCGTCTTTTACGAGCGCGTATTTCTCTTCCCTATCCTACGGTTAGAAACGAGCTGAGTTTTCCTTCTTCTTCCTCACACCACTTCTCGTCTCGCTCGCCTTTACTTTACCTTCTTCGCCCTTGTACAGTTCCGCTAAATTCTCGTTCCCAACCTTCTACTCGTTCTACTCGTTTTTTTGCCGGTCAGATCTTTTGATAAAGATTAGAATTTGCTAGGCGAGAGAGAGGTACAATTAGGACTCAAAGCACGATTAAGATGTTGATAAAATGTGGGCATTTAATTATTTTATGCAAATAAATCGCAGAAAATTTATGTTTTTAATATGCTTGCTTGAATGTAAAAGTGAATTTTTATAAAAATATTTTTGCACAAATATTTACGCGTGTTAAGCGTAATTTTTAGTAACGTAGGAAGCTTTAGTTTGATGATGGAAATAAATTTTAATATATAGCGTCAGATCGGAAGCATAAATTGTTTTATATGGAGGTATCGCCTGACAAAGTTTTTGAAATTTGAATGGATTTTCCAAAGGAGTGCGCGAGGTAAAAAGGCGTGTTTAATACTTATAAAATATGAGATGCAACCGGAGACAGTTTCCCGGTCCGACGTCCGGAGGGTGGGGTTTCTTCAAACATCATATAATTGTATTCATGTGGGCGAAAGGGAAGCGCGATCGAAGTCGGAGAATTCGAAGGAGAGGCTCAGGGCGGTTCCGCGGTGACTGAAGAAGTTTATAATCCATGACGTTTCCGGCTCTGCGAGGGAGCGCGAAGGGGCTTCTTCTCATGTCTCCCGCGCGCAGGCAAGGATGGCGAAGTGTGTGCTTCAGATTACAGCCAGCTGCATCCGCGTGTCCTGAAAACGCGGCGGCAGCAACGGATACGGTACGCGTGAGTGCATGCTAGAATCATTTTAAAAAATGGCCACCGTCAGAAATGCCATTTGCGTTCGCTGGAAGCTCGTCCCTTTTTTTTCGGGGGACGAGCGATAAACACTCGGATTATCTGCATCCTGCTTAACGATGGACATTTCTCGTGGTGGTCCGTCCCTCGGACGAACCGGCCGAAAAATGCATTCCTTTCGGTGAGGCACTTGTACAACCAACACACAGACTCCGATTACAGTGACACATACGAGCTGGTAGCATCGTGTATTTAAAAGAATATTTCCGTCGGTGTATACGCTTATTATGCCGGTGCGATCACCGACGCGATGCGTTACACGCTTGCAAAACGACTTCGCTGAAATATGTTGCTGATAAACGCGCTTTCTTTATTGCTTCTATCAAATTCGAGTCTATCTGTAGATTTCACGGATATTTAAGCCAATAATTTTGCTAATTGATTCTTGCCGAATTTACGAGCTACGCGTGATTTCGTATAAGAAAAAAAACGTGATTTATCGAGACGCTTATTATCTCGGCGTCAGCTTATTCGGTTGGATTTTATTTCGAGCTTTCAAGACGGCTATCGACAAATTGAGACGTATGTACATGAGAGTTATATTTGAGGAGAAATTACTGTCGGAAAGGCCGTCTTATTCGTGAGAAACGTGCTGAACGTTTCGCACGCACGCAACTCAATTTCGTGAACTTCGCGGAAACCGCTTCGTCGGTATGCTTGGGACTTACGGCTACACACGCGGGCAATAATCTTCGTCAGGCGTTTCCATACTTCCATACAGGTTATCGTCGGCGAAGTTCTCGGATTTTTCGAATATTCCATCAACGTACGGAAGTCGTATATTACAAACCGAGAATGTACGCGCTGCGCGAAGGCCCGGGGCGTGCTTCGCATGCTAGCGATTACTTTTACCTTCGTCCTTTCGTCCTGGCAGGCGGTAAACGAGCAAGCGGCCTTCCTTCCTTCGGCCTGCCCTCCGCGAGCTCGTAGGCCCACCCTTTTTCGTTCCCTCCTATCGAACCATCGTTCTTTTCCTCTCTCGCTTCGCATCTACCTGCATTTTTACTGTCGAATCGAGGGATTGGTAGTTGATTACTACTGTCTAGAATAAGGTAGAAAATATTTCACAAACTTAGAAATAATAAAAGTAGATATAATTTAAATAATGCGATATGTATAGAGTAATTATGAGGCCTGTGTCAATTAAATTAAATGGTGAAAAAAATTTTCTGATTATTTTGACTGTCACTAGATTAATTTTCTTGTGATCGTTCGGTTATAAAGCAAGTCTTGTTATAAAACATGAATGTTTTTATTTGGATTTATCTTCCCGTTTCTCTTACATGTCATTATTGTACAAACTAATCTGTAAAAATCTCAATCGTATAGATCTGATGTCAATAAGTAGAGTAAAATGGAGGATTGACATAAAAGCAACGTACGCTAGACGTTATCTGCTATCATGGTGGTATTATGGCTTTCAATTTATGACGTCACACGCGAAAGGATGATTGCCTTTGACGATGAGAGGACATCGAGGGGAATCATTCGATAGAGTGATTAGACTTGCTTGACCAATCGAGCGTATAGCAAGAAAGAGCAAACATTTGTTATGAAAATCGTGAACATGTGATATAGGATTTGCTATCTAATAATGTATTTTACCAATCGATTTGAGAAAAAATGCTGGTATTTATTCAGCTAACATTTTTAAATAACTTGCAATATTTTCATTATTATATAATTCATATAAATTTTGAGACAAATGTGTTTAGTTGTGTGTAAACTGAGTTACACGAAAATCAATATAGTTTGTCACGCAGTTCAAATGATAAATTTATATATTTATGTTTGGTTATGTCAGACGGCCGTCGGAACATCGTGAATAAATATTTGCAGGTGACATGTAAACATTACTTCTGTTTTTCCGTAATAAATTCTCGTAAAAATATTTTATTGCAAGCATTGTGATATGTTCTAATTAGAAGCGCAAGCGAATATTAAGTTATACGATACGCAAACAGTGCGTGCCGATCGGCACGTCCGTCGGACGGCGTTGAAATGGCGCGGCAGTTCTCTCTTAGTTTAACATATCACTATTTTCATCATTTATACATTATTAAAGGCAATAACGATACATTTTTCGGAATTAATAAAATTCCAGAATGTTAATATTATTGTTACAAAATACATATTTTTAAAATAATGTTTAATAAGCATCTTAATTCATAAGTCGTTGGCATTATTAGAATAATTATTATCTTAAAGCAAAAGCACAATTATGGGTATCTTATCTTTATTACATTTTATAATTATAAGCACGTAATATAAACACTTTTTGAAAACTTAAACTCAAAATTTAAAAAATAGAGTTTATGTCTCTGTCCGACGGTGCTTTATTCACGAAGAAAAAACTAAATTTAAATTTGTTTTTTTGATTTGGATTAATACTTATCTATCATATTTGCATAAAAGATAATAAATGTATTAATAAACATATTTTTATCATTTATTGGAATAACAATGTAACGAATTTGTATAATTTAACTTCTAGATTAAACAATTGATATACAAATGTTATATCAGTAGTATAATTATTTTATAAATCAATAATTTAAACAGCTCTTCTTACGTGTTAGATGTTTTTACTTGCATAAATTTTGTCAAAAAATTTCAAACTACGCGTGTTTCGACGAGAATTTAACTTCCTGCGTCGAAGGTCAAATAGACAATCGAGAAATCGTATTCTTAAATAACTTCAGATTTTTTTTCCTTCTACAAAGGGCTCTCTTCCGCCAATACTCCAATTTTTTTCTAATGCGTCGCATTTACCGAGACTAATACAAATTCAAGGACTCACCGCGTTGATTCTTTTCATCTATATGTCTCACCAATGTGACTTGGGAAACAGTTTTTAGTTTTCGTTTCGACAGCACGACGTGCTGACGACTCTTCGCACGGTCTTTCGATAAAATAATGTGAATAAATTTATATAAAACGTTTTTCATAGCTCGCGATGTTTGTCGTCGTAATCGGATTGCTTTTTTATCACTTTTTTGTTGTGTCGACAATATCTGGCGTACAGGTAATTTTGTTTATCCAATTTAAAGTATTACAATTTTGTGGAAATAACATTATACGTTCAAATATTTTTTTATTTTTATTAATTAATTTTGTATTGTAAAATTTTACAATGCAGACATAAATTTGTTCTTTAAAAGCGAATTAAATAAAAAAGTATATATGGATTGAGATGTTTATTTTTTATAAAATCAAATTTTTGTTGCAGGATTCCTCATGTGGCGGAGAAGAATTATTGTCATTGGTTCACCACCCCACTTGCGGCTTATCAAAGGTGAGTGTAAGATATAATTTATAACCAAACGTACAAAGAGATTGCAGTGAGAAGAGATTGCAGTGAAAGAGAGGTAATTGCAGTTAATTGCAAAAAAAATTAATCCCGCTTGTCCATCCATGCGAAACAAGAATTATAATATTTTATAACGAGACAAAAATATATGTGATTTAACAAATAAGGGTTCAGAGACTATTAATAATACTTGCTAATTGAAATACTAACTAAGCGATTATATTTCTTAATTATTCTTCTCCTACAATGTTTATACGGATATTATTGTATGACGTGATTGAGCATTTTACATATTTCTTTATATACGTAAAGAAAAGAGGTAAAACTTGTAATAGACATAGTTTATATAGCATTTTCTTTCATTTCTATCTGTGAAATTTATTAGCTTGAACTAAATCAATTTTGCCATAATTTTTTATAATTACTCAAAAAAATGATCTTGCAATAATAGCTCAAATTTTCTAGGTGTAAAAAATTAACTAAAACAGATAAATGATTAGCAACTGTTGTGATATTGCATATGTAATTACTTAATCAGTTTAGATGACAGAAACAGAATATATATCTGTATTGTTTGTGAACTTTAAAAAGAAAGTTTCTCTAAAGCGCCTATCTGTATAAGATCAATCACGTGTTAGATCATGCAATGAATAACATTTAGCAATGATACCTAAATTTTTCAGAAGCTATTGCTAGAACATTACTGCTATAAATTCTATATGTGACAAACAATGTTTTCACAGATACGAAAAATAGCGATACATTCTTGTTGCGATATCTAGAAATCTAACTACATCAGCGAAATATTTTTTTGAGTGATATCCACGGTTAGAAAAAGTTTTGAAAACACATAGATATTCTGTAAGCAGAGTGATATCTTTTGCTTTCACTAATTTTTTAATCATTTCTTTTCATCAAAGCTTTATATCAAAGCTTCGGCAGTTTTTAAAATATGAGTGATTCAAAAAGTAATTATAGTAATTTCCAGATTTTAAATTAAAAATTGTATTTTTACAATTTTTTATTTAATTTCTTTTTAAAGTAAAATTTTAACAAAACATTTTGTTATTGATATTAAATTGTTTAAGCGATGCTTCAGAGGAGTTTTGCATTTAGGAAAGTAAAAAACGATGTAAGTACTTTTGTGTTAATTGTTACGAAATATAGCACCATAATACTTAATTTTATTAGCAAGCATCATGATATCTTTGAAGCAATCTCGAAATTATCTTGATAAGCGGATGTGCAGCTTATTTATAGTTAGTCGTATTTTTCTTCCCTTCGGCACTAGAACCATTAAATTAATTTGAGAAGCAAAGATATATGACGCATTGAATTGCATTATCATATTACAGGAGATTTAATAACATGTTTTGAAATAATAAATATTTGTGTTGTTACTAAAAAAATATTATGATGTATATTTAAACAGATTGTTCTACAGATTTGTTCTACATTAAAATGGGGTTTAACAACTCTGAAATAATTTTTTATTTTACTTCGATAAAAAGACAACGTGCTTATTTTTTAAGAAGCTTCTTAAATAATGAAAAATTTTATCTTGATTATTTAATCTTTAGTGCAATTACATAGTAGTACTGAGTAAATATTCGATATAAACGTACAGCAATGAATCGCAAACTTTTATGATTTCAAATACTTTGTGGCCCTTTAAAAGTTGATGTTTGGTAATACAATTATTTATGAATATAAACGAGATTAATCGAAAGGACCAAGAACTTTCATTCTCTTAAATTTCAATCATACTTCCGTAAAGTGTTCTCCACGCTAAGATGCTAAAAGGATCTTATCATCGGCCGGGGAATCGGCCACGATCGGGTAGAGTGCAATTTCATTCCGCGACACACGCGTGTTACATTCAACGTGTTGTGTCTCCTACTCGAAAGACCGTCGAGTGTGTTGGCGGCCATTATTTACACCCGCGCGCGTGAGATCCTCGTTTTATAAGGTGATAAAGACGAAGTCTCTAGCGACGCTGAAAGTGATCCGGGACATGCGAGTCGACATGCAAAACCGATTCTCGGTTGTACCGAGAGGTGTACGCGCGTATACACGGCGCCGTCGGACTAGTCGGCGCGCAACTTGCACATCGTGGAGAGATGCTTAAAGTGTGTTCATTACCGGGACGAGACGCGCGGCTGGTCGACTCTCGCGAATGCGGCAGTCGGTTCTGCTTGTCCCTCGAATGGCTATCATGAAGCCATTAACTTTATTATACCGAGCCATTAACTTAAATATTACGACTCGCGTGTCGCGCAGCTTCGGGCTTTCTGATTTATCGCTGGGAAAGATCGTGATGTAACCCTAAGCGCCGGTGTTTTTGTCGCCGTCGTTCACCTGTCAGGCACCGACGTTGAGGAGGTCTAGGCGCATAGGCGTGACGTGGCGTTGCGCGATCGATTAAAGACGACCGTATTGCGCAACGCTTGATAAGATTGCCGAGCGATTGGTGAGCACTGATTCAATCGCGCGATTCAGATGGAAATTTTTAATCACCTCACGTTTATGCTCAAGAGGAAAGACTCTTTCTCGCGTAAAAAATTTGAAGTTAGATGAAATGTTTCTTATTTGAAACACAGAGCATTTCTCAAGTATATCGTTAATAGAAATAAATTAATTAAATTTTACAATTTGTGTTTAGACAGAAATATGTATTGTAGATAGAGAAAACAGAACTTTTTGCCGAAAAGACGGTATCAAGATACGATTGAAGTGAAGACAAAGAAATGCGTACCTGTTCGAAGATAGAACCCGTAAAAAGAAAAAAAATCGCTGAAGGAGGTGACACGTTTCGCTGAAAGGGGGTGGATGTCCGACACGATGGGATTTTATATGAGTCTCAAGATTCGAAATGAGGATTTACGAGCGGGTCGCGAAGCGCAGAGAAAACATTGTTTCAAATAAGACATCTTCGAACTAACTTGCGAATCCTGTTTACCTACTGTAGTGACCGCGATGCTGTTTGGAGGGGAAACACCATCGTAGATAAAAGGATAAAGAACACTTTGAGATGGAAAGCGGACAGGGGATGTTGGGAAGAAAGATCGCGCGAAGATTAAGAGACAGTTGTAAAAAGACGCGCGCGAAGAAGAGGAAAGAATAAAAGAACAAAATTAAGATGGGGAAGGGAGGAAAGGAAGGAAAACATTGCCAGAATGACACGCGAGGGAGATCGAGAAACGAAGGTGTCTTAACAAAGAGCGAAGGGAGTCTGAAAACAAAGGGGGTGATTTGATGGAAGAAAGGATAAGAGAAAGGGCGAACCAATGAATAAGAGGAGCATTTCCTTCGACCCACGTCTCTGTGCGAACCTATAAGCATGTAAATGGAGTATATTATTCCAACGTGCGTGTTGGTGTGCGCTATTCGAAGATCGGTTCAAACAGGGAAGGGTGATAGCGTGCGTGCATGCGCATCACATCTTCATGAACTTGTTATTATACCAACCAGGATAATCAAAGAGCGGCTTTTATGTACGGCCCGTTCGCTGTAGTTAGCGGACCTTTCCTTGTTTCTTCGCCTTTTGCGAGCCGTTCGTCCTGCCGGCCGATCGACGCGCTGTATCATTTTATCGGCAATCCTTCCGCTTGTAATTTACATTCTTGTTACTTTTTCTGAGGCATTCTCTATCCTGCAAATTTTTAAAAAGTTGAAGTTGCCTGTAGTTGCTGTAGTTGCACTATTTATAGATTTGATTTGTTAGAAAAGTCTGTTAATTGTAATTATTTTAAAAAGGAGAAAAATATTCAAGGCAAAAATATCTTTAATTATCTTATATTAATGCAATAAACACTTTAATTATACTGATAACTATAAATTTTTGAAGAGTTGATTCTTTATAATTATATTGATATAATTTTTGTTATTTCTCGTACATACTTAAAAAATAGGAGTTTTAAATTATTAAAGTAGTCAAAACAAGAAACCAAAAAAATATTAATTTTACTAGAAGCACGAAGAGGTTTCGATATTATTTAGTTGATACAATTTCGAAAATGCTACCTGCGAATGCTTTTCACATTAACGATGGACCAAGTAGTCATTAAACTTGGAATATTCATGCACTCGCATATATTTCGTAAATTTTCCAGTGATAGTCTCATATCGACATAGCAATTTAGAAACTCTCTATCTTTAGCTCGCACTTATACACACACATTGCGTATACGCGTCATTTACGTGCCGATGTAATGCAGGGATAGAGCAGAGTAGTACAATATTTCGAACAAAATTTCCAATTGTTGTTTCATATGTACGAAAGATCGTGTTACACACATTTCTAAAATTTTATGGATATGTCTGTCACGAGTGATCATATTTTTTTTGAAAAGATAAATGGATTTTAAATCATTATAAGGATAAATGGATTTTATTTAATGGCTTTTAGGGCTTTTAAATTTAGATTGTGCTGTTAAAAAATCTATTTTTATAATATACATTGCATATTGCTAGATTTATAATTAAACAACTATAAAGTTTAATTTTTCTAGAAAATAAATAAAAAATAAAGTAAGTTTACAATTGATGTATCATGTATGATGCATCGAGACTCAAAAGATTAAATTTTTTAAATATAAACTGCAAGCGCATTTTTGTTTTTTTACAAAGATCTTCTCGTTGTTCTTGTTGTTTTTTCATCGATAATATAATTCTTGATAATGCCATTATTTTTCAAGATAAGTATTAATTTGGGAAGCCTTGTACGTTGACATAAGGCAGTGAACTTGTTACTCATTTATTCGATGGCAAGATGGTGCAACGCATTAAGACGGTTTTTAATGAAGAAAGTTTTCATTACAGTGAGCATTTAAAATTAAAGTGGTCTACCTGTCTACCTTGCATCGTTATAGTTTCTTACCCCAATGGGATTTGGCGCTTCTCATACCTCCGTCCTTCCACCACTCCTTTCGTTATATCGACCTTTTGAGTTTTCGCAGTAGCATTTGGACGCCAAATAGCGACCA